ATATTTAATCTATTTGGTCCCGCTTCTGGGAGTAGTCGTTTTAACCCTCACTAATCCTTTTAATCTTTATCTCTCGTTACAGAGGACCAGCAGCAGTTTGTTTTTACCCCTAATTTTTCATCTATTTCATCTCAATCTACTCGCTAGATCAGTTGGCTTCTCATGTCATCTTGTAACCCACACCAAAAGAGGAATTATGAACAGTATATTACCTTTCACTGCCCATTTTCTTCCAAAAAAAAAAAATTAATTATTATTTAAAAAAATTTTTATAAAAAAAAAGAAAATACAAAAAAGTAAAAAAATGTAAAATAATAATAAATAAACAAAAAATTTTTTTAAATAAAAAAAAGATTATTTAAAAAAAAAAACTTCCACTGTATAGTTAAATGGACAGATATACATATTTTTTGCGCATAAATGCTTCACTTCTATGCTGTACATAGTAATCCGCTCAATTTATTTTCACAGCCTGTACTATATTCCTTCGGGTTTATGCCCTCCTGCAATTCATTTATTTTGTGAACCGTACTTATAAACATTATGCATCATCTTAGTTATGCACTTAGCAACATGAACAAAGTAATTTTGGTAATGATAACTACTCATAGCTATTGGTTATGTACTAACTTCTCTGTAATTTTATAAGTTCTCACAGGGTAGAAACTTCCTTTGTTTTATCTCATTCTAACGTACTACTTCCAAGTTGCACCACTTTTCCTCGCATTGATTTCGCACAAGCTTTTGTAGTACCTTTACACCGATTTTGAAATCTTAACCTTCTTTCCCATTTTCTTCTGTTGTTTTTTTTACCCTGCTCCTTATCATACGCTGGTATAATGATTGCCTTTAACATGACTGCTAGGTTCTGTTGAAGCGGAGGAAGGGAGCATTGGTCTAATATGAAAGTTAGACATAATGAGTCACCTTCTTGCTACGACAGCCTCGGCGCCAGAGGTTTACCATCAAACCTCCACATAAGTAAGCTTGTAATAGTGCGGAATTAAAAAAAAGAATGAATCGATACAATAAAAAAATACCAAAAAAAAGATTAATAAAAATATGAAAGACAAAAAAAAATTAAAAAAACAACAACATCAGACCGCAGAAGCTTACAACCACACAAGGCACCAGCGTCATTTCTTATCATATTCCGTCTTACTTCACTAATCATGTACATACCACTTCCAACTTACCTTAATTTTTTTTCTTTTCTTTTGCTTTCTTTCCTTTCGGTAAAATTTCTTTTTTTACTATTGCTATTTTCAAACCTTCTCATTCACTCATTGCTATTGTGCCAAGCCATCCTACTGTTGTATATCGAAGCTTGCTGGCTTCCCACCAACCTTCTAGGGGGGGATAACCTGTAGTGCACATTGTACCTTTGAACTTTTGTTTAAACTGACTCACCCACGGTGATCCACGTTTTATCTTTTGAGTTGTGAGTCTTCCGTACGTTCATTGGTTCGCTCTCTTGTTGTGCTCTCTTTCTGCACACTCTCCGAGCCTACCTCCAGCAACGTCTGCAGCTAAGTTGTACAGTCACTTTATTTATTAAATTTGTTATACAGTTACGTTAAATACAACTCATACTAAGAATTCTTTCCATTGTTAGCTTTTAAACTTTGATTGAGTTAATCAGTACTTACACGTTAGGTAGAGTACTCGTAAAGTCATAAGACGGTGAAGTTTTTAGTAAGTGTGGTGATATCGAAGACTATCTTAAGTCTAGCTTCAACACTTACAAATTCACCCCTCTCTGTGTTTTGGTTAAATTCTTGTAATTCGGTCATCTCGAAATACTAATACTACTATTACAAAAAATTACAACAAACTGGGACCAGTATTGTTTGAAACAACAAAGATAGCGAAAAGAATATGAATAACGAGATAGACATTTGATGAAATCGCCCCTCAGTTGAATAGGTTTCACCTGAATGAGCTACACCACATATTGAATCAGTATTTTACCGAACGCTTGTAAATTTCACTTGCTAGTGTCAACTGTTCGGGTTATCAGGACATAAGTAGTGGTTTGAGATGATTAGTGCTAAGATGAAATACAAAGGTTTCAAAATTATTAAGCATTGTTGGTTTTTGTGGTGTTAAGCACACATCGTAGACTGCATTCTTCAATCAGACTTTTGAAAATTCTGATTATTTTACAGTCACTGTTAAGTGAAAGATTATTGTGATCTCGGCACAGATTCGGACTGATTAACAGATTTCTTGATGAAGGTTGTTTCCATTCCTGTCAGATGTGCCAACCATGTTTTAATATCTCTGAAGTGTAAGTCTAGTGGTTTCAGTGCTTCATTCAAGCATCACTAATCTAAAGAATGGTGGAACTGTCTCAGTGAAGTGATCCAGCGCAGTCCGCATGGAGAGAGAAGAAGACAGAAGAGAACTGCTTGAGAAGTGCAGCAGTGTAGCTAGCAAGTCTAAGTAATTTAGTCGTGATTTGCCAATGATAATTATCATTGTAATAAAGAATAAAGTAAGATGGTAGTAATCAGCAATAATCAGATTACCATTATATCTCGTTTCTGGCTTCCCGGGTGGAACATAGCGGCATGTTTCCGTTGCACTCACCTCGTTTATATCATTTCAAATACATCCAGAAATGTCGACACATGCTCCAAGCTTCTCATCACAAGATCTCTATGATACCCTCGGACACCCGACTTGTCAAATGCCATTCGATGTTCCACTCGATGGTCTGGAATGTAAATTTGAATTTCTGTTCAGTATGTTCAACCCAAGTCGGCCCTTCATTATGCCGCCTAGTCAGAGAAAGTAACAGTAGATCAATAAGGAGTTCTATAATTGAACATATATTCGATACTGGCTACTTGAAAGGTAAGGAGAATTTATTCAAAGTTATCTAGAAAGAAGTCTCCCGCAAACCGTAAGCTTGTGTATAGTTTACATTACCGATGCCTTAGCGATTTGGATGGAAAGTTGTGACATGTGCACACAGAAGAAACTTCTCCTTCTCCCTGGAGTGTAATTCCAAGTTCAACTGATATCGATCTTTTGTGACCAATATTATATTGTGCATTTTTCCTGTGACATTCGGCACCATCAGTTTGTGAGTCAGAAACTTGGTATGTCACTAAAAGAATTTCCAGCAGTTTACAGTCTTTCATCAACAGCTGCCTTCGCTGGTTCCATACTGAAGATCAAATAGCTGGCCGGCCAGAAAGAATAAGTAACAAGAAACTCTGAAATTGAACGAACCCACCAAGAGGCGATTGCTCAACAAATATGTAGGAGAAAATGGAGATGGATGGCATTGGCATAAGTTGAGTAGGCCATCGAATAACGTCGCCCACAATGCAGGCCATCGTTCAAGTGGAATCCAAGTGGGAAGCGACGAGTGGGTCATCGTATGGTAACACGGAGGAGACCGTGTGATGAGGAGGGAATGAGAGATTACAGTCAATCGTAGGGCCAGCCGAACAGGACTACAGTGCTGCTATCCTTACAAAATTCCTAAACTGGTATAGAAGTCTGTTAGTTTTAAATCTACAATCCACTGTGTCCTTAATAGAGATGTTTTCATTAAATTGCCGTACAATGAGAAAGTAAATAGCAGGATTTCATGACAGAGAATAAACTCGGTCATCCACAGAACTCATCTCGGTTTATAATTGTTAAAAAAGCTAAAAATATGCTCCACTGCGAACATCAAGAGTACACTAGTGATTATATCACACCCTACTCTATATACTGATCTACGTATGTGCGTGGACACAAATCCATAGGGAGAAGTAATTGGGCTTTGCATATAAGAATAGGAGAGAAAATATCTTCCAGGTGTCCTTCAGATTGAAAATCTATGAACAAAGGGTGGTGTTAAGATAAACAACCTGTCATTGTTAGCCAAGATTTGGTCATGACTGATGCATGGATTTGGAAGGCTATACGATCGCTCAGGTATTATTTATTTATAGCTTAAACTTCCCTGGATTTTAAACAACATATATATATATATATATATGCGGAGTACTTTGCAGTATGACCGTACACTTTTTTGTTAGATGTTGAAATTAGAGATATTGTACATGACTTTTGTTTAGGACGATTCATGTTAGAATATAGATAACTTCTGAGTACAATCTAAAATACAGTGTCCTTTTGGTCGTTTTGTCTTCTCACTGGTCTATACTGTCTACTTGCTTCACTCATAACTGTGTTGTATACTATGGATTTATTGCAGGGACCTCTTATCCTCATCCGAAGACTATTCTGCAACCGGTACACACCTTCCACCAGTAGACACGACTGCAGCAGTGAATGCTTCTGTGGATTACATTAATGATTTATAGCCGTGGACTTTAACTGTATATCCAAGTAACCGTTTAATTAATATAACTCATTACTGTAGTTTTTATAATATACTGCTACACTATCATCTCATTAACTTGGATATTTATTCATATACTCGTTCTGTTATTGTCCCTTACATGTTTACCCAGTAGTTTGAATAATAAAACATTGCCGCTATTCTCCTTTTGTCTCAGTTAAATCTGACTTCTGTTTCCAACTGAGTGTGTGGAATATTTTCAAGTGATCAGCTTGTTACAGTGCCGTCTCTTTAAACGCATTCTAGTCAGGGTGAACGACAGTCACTCATCACTAATGACCGGTCATGACATATTTAGCGACGGGGTTATTCAATTCAGTGGCTCTGTCACAGAACTAATAAGTGTATTTACGTAATCGGAAATACGTTTCCCCAAGCCTCACAAATGACTGATTAAAGTGCGCTTCTTGAGTAGTTTGAAGACTGATGTACACAGTGTTGTTTCACCTCAGGTTTCCACATGTTCTCCATACTAATTGCCAAAATCAATTATCATCGATTGTCCAGCATTCTAATACTTTTGTATTCTTGAATTTTAGGACTATCGTATTACAACCTCTTGTGGAGTCATCAGTGTGATGATAGAAAAAATATTAGCAGAAAGTTGTACATATTTAAACATTTTGAAGTTTTATTCTTCTATTGCATCATTTTCTTTTATACCTGTAAAGAGTTTGTCAAAATCATCAATGCTTTTAAATATCATGCGCTTCGGTTGTGTATCGTCACAAGGATCCCTTGTTATATCCTTTCTCTTCTCATTCGCCTTTATTTTAGCCGGCTGAAATGAAAAGTGAATTTGAAACAGATATTCTTTTGAAGCAATTTGGATAGTGTTGTTATCCTCCATTTTGAATGGTATCGTCACCTAGACGTGTTGTCAAACAAAGTAAACTGCTGAAGCGGAAATAAGTTCTCAGACCTACAGCTGGAGATTATGCCAGTTAAGATAACACAACTTGCTGAGTATAACGTCTTTTCTCATTCGGAGATCAAGTCAACAACCAACCTGTCAGCACTGACACAATCTCCTAAATAAGTCAGCTCGTTCATCTCTTATCCGTAAATTAGGGCCCAGCAGTATCATCCTGAGTTTGACGGGCGATTCGCAAGTTAAACATTTGGACTTTCGCTCGTGGCGTTTAGAAGACCCAGCATTTTGTTAGTGTATTCACTCCAGAGGATGATGTAATTTGTGTAATACCCAAGCAAAAATGGAGATGGGTTAGACACACGCTGAAGAGACATTTAAATCCATGCTCTGGACCATCGAGGAGAAGTCAGGCTGGACGTCTGAGGGTGACATGGAGAAAATCATGTAAAGTGAAAATAAGGGCAAACAAGAATTCCTTAATAAATTTAGAAATCATGGTGGAGAACAGGGTGAAATGGAGGTATGCTTCTGAGTGCTGTTAGGATAGAGAATAACTAATGATAATGGTAATATAATAAATACTGATTGTCACCATCTTATCCTATTCTTTATTTGATCAGTAGACACTGGCTGACCAACTGGACCTGATTAAGCAGACTTTTTTATTCTAGAGTTCAACGCTAACATGATCACGAGGACGGCAAACGGATTTGATGACACCCATAGATTGGTCCATAACGTTAACGTAATGATGGCTTAAGTGATGTCCCATATTTGGGTCTTTCCTGTACATCTCAGAAACAAACCATACATCCAAAGGTCTGGCAGAAATGTATGGTTTCATCTAGTTCAATATACATGAGTAAGGACCAGTTGTTTTTTCACCTAATATTCCCCTTTCGTGAGGAAAGTGCCATCTTGAAGGTGTCGATGTCCCTGCAATTGATTTGCTGAGAATTATTCTTTGCAGTAAATAGAAACTAACGGTAAGCGCGGCTATCTTACGTACTGTATGCGCCTATCTTCTAAAACTGCACACCAAATAATTAGCTGAGAATCCAAGATTTCTGAAACCTATTTATTGATTCCCAAAATATAATTTCTGATTAGTTCGACATACGATGGTTTCTTTAAAAGTCCTATGGGCTTCAAGATCTACCCAGCTGGCATTTTCATCGGGCTCATTGCAGACTTTTGGGGCAAAAACTTCGGGTAGATCTACTTACTTGGGACAGTGTCCCGAAGTCTGCCCGAAAAAGTCTGCAATTTGCCCTAAGTTTGCCTTAAAGTCTGCAATGCGCCCTAAGTCTCTCCCTAAAAGTCTGCAATTCGTCCAAGTCTGCCCAAAAGTCTTCAATGCGGCCGAAAAAAATGTTAGCTGGGTAGACATGAGATATTCGCTTACCTTCTGACATCGAGGCACGACTACGTGAAGTATCTGATAAATGAACCACAATGTTCATAAAGGTGATTATATCTGGTGAAATAGTGGCTACGATAAAAGGTGAACATGACGTGTCTCTCATTTGTAGGATGGCTCGAGAAGTGCCTAGTTTCATGGGAGAATAGGAGGTAAAGTGTCACTGATTACGTCCAATATTATCTTTCAAAATCAACAAAAGGACCGGTAACTAGTAACACTGTACTAGGGAGAACTGTTTCTTGGCAGTGAAACTTAGCAATAGTGTTGGAATCACTGTTAGAAATAAGAGATGACCATCATTCCAATCAGTCCGAAGTACCTCTCGGTATATATGCAATAATAAACATATTTCAGACAAAACGATTAATACTTGAAGGTATAATATGCTGAAATTTTATGGAAACTAATTGGTTTGAAATTTGTGCTACGGTTTAGACTGTTTAAAGAAGAAACACACCGAAGACCACCAGGAAATATTGAAACTTACTGAATTACTCCAAATACAGAGCAGTTTGTGTTGTATCCACATTTCTAATTCTTTAGTATCATACTTCTGCAACTAAACTCAGATGTGAAAAATACATTTACATTCAAAATATTATATGTTGCGTCATAGATACTGACGTCATTCGAGTTTTTGAGTATTTCTAATATTGAACCGGCTGAAATTTGAGATAACTATTTGATATATTGGTAAACAGGAGAGAAATATTTCGGATTACCCGCAAATTATCTTCGCTCATATTCTCACGCGAAGATTTATGTCACAGTCAAATTGTGTGGGTGTTTCATTGAACATCCAACCCAATCCAATATCCTAATTACGAGCTAGTATAAACCAGTAATTTCTTTGAGCTCGCTCCTTGATTGTGAGGTAGAGGTTCCAGATCTTCGGTGAGCTTCTGCGTAGTAAGTCCCGACACTCGACTGCTTTAGCTCTGGTAGACTCCAGGAGGAGTGGTGCGGGGATTGGTCGAGATGTGGTTTGTAGTATGCAGTATGTTAGGACTGTATTGCTGCCGTGAATGGAGTTTGACCTAACTCCCGTTGGTCATTCGGTGTAGTCATAAAAGCAGAATAGTAATAATAATAATAATAGGTTGTAGTGTAGATAATATAGGTTGAGATAAGTGGAATAATAAAGGTGACCTAAGGAAAAGATAGAGTGAGAGAAGGCAGAATAGGTCGTGCGGATTTAGTTTGTACGCTTATCCATTGACAGTGTGGTTTTAAGTTTTATGAGGATAAGCCATTGAGACACAAACCTTGCATTTCTGCATGATTGTCTAGCTTCCGCTTAAAAATCTCCACAGATGGCGCTGTAGTCACGGCCGCCGGTAAAGCGTTCCAGAGACGGCAAACACGAAGCGAAAAGAAATGTGATCGCACTCGAGTCTTTGGTCTCTGGTGTGCTATCCTTAGCGGGTTACCTCGTGGAAGCCTATAATCACTTAATGGCAGGATGCTTTTATTTGGGTGGGCCTGGTCATTTAGGATTTGGTAGACGGTGATGAGGTCTCCCCTGTGCCTACGGTAACTAAGTGTGAAAAGACCTAATTTCTTTAGTCTTTCCTCATATGATTTGTTGCGGAGGCCGATCACCCATTTTGTCGCTCGTCTCTGGACACTTTCTAGAATGTTAGCATCCCTTTTGAGTAGCGGAGGTGCAATGATATTATGCACCTCAAGGTGTGGCCTCACATATGCCTTATATAACCTTAAGAACAGTTCGGGAGTGAGAGCTCCCAGCTGCCTGTGCATAAAGTGTAAAGTTGCGTAGGCTTTGGCGACGTCCCTCGAGTAATTTCCACTGGTGTCTAGCTTTTCTGTTAGAATAAGACCTAGATCACGCTCTGATGGAACACAACTCAAGTTCTGGCCACCAAGGGTGTAATTTACACTCTGTGACCTGCCGGAATGAAGTTGCACTACTTTGCACTTCTTTAGGTTGAAAGGCATTCCGTTAGCCGAGCCCAGTTTCCCAGAGTTTGCAGGTCAGCCTGCAATCTATCTGAGTCTTCCGATGAGTTTATTGCTCTCCAAATCTTTACGTCGTCAGCGTAAAGAAGCGCAGAGCAGTTTAGTTGGGAGGCAGGTCGTTGATAAAAATCAAAAACATCAACGGCCCTAGGATAGAACCCTGAGGAACCCCTGATGCCGAGGTGTGCCAGGATGATCGGATGCGGTTGACTTTGGTGCAGAATTCTCTCTCGCCTAAGTAATCTTTCAGCCATGCGAGAAGTGCTCCAGAAACACCCGCCTTGCTTATTTTGTGAAGGAGCAGACCATGGTGAACTGTGTCGAATGCTTTCGCAAAGTCGAGAAAGATCACGTGGGCTGGTACCTTTTTGTCCCAGGATAGTGTCCAATCGTTCCAGGCTAGTAGAAGATTCGTCACGCAGGATCTTCCCCTCCTGAAACCGTGCTGTGCTTCGTGAAGAAGGTTAGTCCCATCGAAGTATTTTCTCATGTGGTCGTCAATGAGACTTTCCAATATCTTCGATATCACTGGAAGTAGAGCAACTGGTCTGTAACTGGTCACATTCTGCCGGTCACCACCCTTGAAGATAGGGGATAGGATTGCACGTTTCCATTCACATGGAAGTTTCCCTACATCAAGGGAGTGTTGGAACAGATCACTTAGGGGTTGACAGAGACTTTCTGAACACTGCTTCAGGACAGATGGTCTGATGCCATCACAACCTGGAGACTTTCCCGAAGCCAACCTTCCCAATTTTGCAAGTACCATAGCCGGGGTAATTTGAAATGTACCCAGCAGGTTTTCACGCGTTGGTTTTGCGATGTAATCTGGATGTTCTGTAGGGGTAATATCCTCGTTACTATTTAGTTGCCTGTGAAAGGCTAGGCTGAATGTCTCTGCCATTTCAAGACTAGTAAGAGATTTCCCATCAGAACCCACTAGATTGCATGCTCCCTGGTTGGTCGGTTTTCTTTCGGCCATAAACCTGTATAGGCTTTTGGGGTTCACGAGAAGCTTATTGGCGAGGTCTCCCTGAAATGTCCTTCTATCGCTCCGGACTCGTATGTTACATCGATTCCTGAGTTCAAGGTACACTTCATATTCGGGTTGACTCTTCGATCGTCGCCACGCGAACCAGGCTTTTCGCTTTGCCTGCAGAAGGCGTTGTGTCCCCCTTTTCAGCCATGATCGTTGCTTCCTAGCTTTTGGTGAGACTAAAGGAACAGTGTCTGAGACCGCCTGGTGAATGATCTCCTTTACCACTCTCCAGTGTTCTTCTACTGTTAGCTCTGTCCATTTTTTAGGCCAGTTTGCTTCAGACAGAAGTCTTCGCATTTTGGTGTAGTTGGCTTTGTTATAACACAGATAGGGCTGTGTATTGTCCCACTGTAAGCGCTCGCGGAGGACTATGTCGAATACTATGACCGCGTGGTCACTACTACCTATGGGAGTCGTGATCTGAACGTTTTCCACTAGTAGCTGGTCACTAGTGAGCACGTAATCCAGTCTAGAAGACTTCCCATCAGGGCCCCATCTAGTATCCATCTTGACATTTTCAGTGAATCCAGCCTTCCTGATGGTATGCAGCAGATTTCGATCAAATCTATCATGGGCTTTTCCCGACACCAAGTTAAGAGATGGGGCGTTGAAGTCACCAGCTATGACAATTTGATCATAACCCATGTCTTGAGTCGCTGAGATTGTATTTAGCAGTACCTGGTTGTGGTCTGCTCCACATGAAGGTGATCGATAAATGCTGCCCACTAGATATTTGCAGTACCCAACGGTGAAGTGGCACCATATGGAGTCAGGGAGCTCAGTGAGGGGAGGGTCCATCGCGTGAACACATCTGAGCTGTTTGTCGACGTATATGGCGACTCCACCTCCTACTTTCAGGTCTGTATCTCGCCTGACTAGGACCATATCATTTATACTGACTTCGCTGTCTGCCACCGTAGGAGTTAGCCAGGTTTCCGTCAGTATTATGATTTTGGAGTTTAGTTGTGATTGTAGGTGTCTAAGTTCAGCTATTTTGCCTCTTAGCCCTCTCACATTACTATACAGGCAACTGGTAGTCAGTCTCACCACTTCCCCGTATTGGGGGGTAGTTGACTTGATATTGGCTATCGGTTGAGGAGTTATCCTACGAACTAGTTGGCCGATTCCCCAGGAACCGGCCTGTTGGCGTTTTTTCTTCTAGTTCAGTTGGAGCACTCGGATGACACTGGCTATCATCGTCCGTGCTGCACCGCTGTAGTGTGACTAGGGGTTGAGGATTTTCTTTTACTACGCTTTGTTCTCTCCTTTGAGTGCGAGGCCGGCTCTCGCAGCAGCGAATGTGTTTGCTGACCTTGTCCTTGGTCTCGTACCATCTTTGGAGAGCGGTAGTCAACTGGTCTTGCGAGCTGAACTTGACAGCTAACAGACGTGGCGAGTTAATTGACATAAGATGAGTGGGTCGAGGCAGTCTATAAATAGAGACAGCCCCTGAACTCCCCAGGGCCATCTGGGATGCCAACCATCTCCATTGTTGTACATCATGACAATGCTTTTCGTAGGCGTTCCCAGTTACCAGTTCGGGAATGCCATGTACAACCATGGAGGCAGAAGGAATGAGCTCTGGCGACTCCCTCGCTATCTGTCTTTCCTTCCATGGCCTGTCTGGCTTAACACATATGTTGCAGGCCCTCCCTATAGAAAGGACTTGAGAAGTCAGTAAAACTTTTTCGACATCCTCGGTCGAGCCCAGTGTTACCCTCAGTGGGGATGGTTTGCCTTGAGGTGCAGCAGTGTCCCTATACAATCTGCATAGTTTTACTGGTTAGATGTCCAGGCCCAGTGTGCTACACAAGTTGGACCACTGTTCCTGATCAAACAGGGCCCTATTTTCCAGCAGACTACTACTGCAGTCTGGTACATTAAAGAGGATTACACAGTTTGATCTACTAACCGTGAGCTTAGGCTCGGTCCTCGCACGTTTGTGATCCCCTTTAAGACTGTTTTGTTTCATCTGTTACGACTGGGTATTTCTGTGTGTCTCAGTGCCATGGCCAGTATTACTGGTAGACGATAGGGGTCTTTTTCCAGCGACAGAAACCCGTGGTGCTTCAGCCCCTGTGTCTGGAGCGGTTATGGCAAGAGTTGCAGGTTTGACCGGTGAGGATTTTGGTATCCCCGGTTTACGTGCATTTGTGCTATTTTCCGAGTTGGTGGGAGTAGAACAGACTATTTTATGCAGAGAAATGATCCTAGATACCCACGTAATGAGGCCAGAAACGATTATATGCAACAGGATTATTTTCGGTTGCAGCAAACAATAGCCCCCCTCGCAGCACAATTTGTCCAGGGAATAGTAAACACGCTGACAATGTCTCATATGAGGATCCCTCCGAACATAACATAGGCAACCAGGAGTTAGGGATAGTAACAAGAAAACCTACTAACTATCCCAACAACCCTGGTTTTCTGAAAATTATGCTTTTAAATGCTCGATCTCTCCTTAACAAAATAACTTCCCTTCGCAGCTTGGTATACATGGAGCGGCCTACACTGATTCTGGTAACTGAAACTTGGCTTACTACTGATATACCTGACACAAAGCTGATAATTGATAACTATAACATCCACAGGAATGACAGAGTAGACAAGAGAGGAGGCGGCGGTCTAATATATGCCTCTAAATCCACTAACTCCAATACCTTTACAAACCTAACTATTGACAAACTCCCAGAATCCAAGTGGATAAGCATCCACACGAATGAAAATAACATTCTGGTGGGATGTATATACAGAGCCCCTAACAGCCCTATAACGACTGATACGGTTACTGGAGAAATACTAGAGGTTGTACCTAAGCTGGAATTCGACTACAAACTAGTTTGTGGCGATTTCAACCTCCCTGGAGTGAACTGGGATACCTGCACTGGACCGAGAACCTACGAGGTGATCCTAGAAGCCATAGATGTAGGAGGATGGAAGCAGTGCGTACGCCTCCCAACACGACACAACAATATTCTCGACTTAATCCTCTGCCACAAAATAGAGCCGATCTCGATAGAGGTGAGAGATAAACTCGACAACAGTGACCACAACATACTGTACTGCACCCTACCCTTACAACTAACAACTAAACACACACCTAAGAGTTCCCCGGTTTACTATCAATATAGGGACTATCGAAATGCCGACTGGGAATTCCTACCAACGCTCTTGAGAAGCTCAGACTGGGGTGAATACTTCACCAATAATAACTTAGAAGTAATACTAAATACCTTCTACAAGACAATCAGTTCGGTAAGAGACACAATCGCACCCCTGAAATCTGCCCTAAAGACACCAACTCTATTCATAGACCGCAAAACGCGAATAAAACTAAGGAAACTAAAAAGGAAATTTTATTTATACAAAGAATTTAATGCATTACACCAGATACACGAAACATTTAAAAATTTAGATGAGAGACATAAAATGAAAGCACAAGTCGAGGAAAATAAAGCCCTAGAGGGCACCTCTAAAACCCAGGAACTCTGCAAAATCTTGCAAAAACGGCTGAAGAAGGGTGAAGAAAACAATATCAGTCATTTAGAACACGAAGATATAATTTATGATGATCCCCAGATCATTAGTGAACTCCTGAGTGAGTGGTTCTCCAATAACACCAAAGCACATCCGTCCCCAATTCTCGACATAACCTGCAAAAATAACTACAAGTTAGGTGAAATAAACTTTAATATACAAAATATAGCATCGGCGGTAAGGACATTAAAAGCTAACAGTAGTTGTGGGATAGACGATATACCATCCGTCATATACAAAAACGGTGGTACGGATATGATAGTACTATTACTTAGAATATTTAATATCTCACTAGTGACTGAAACCTACCCTGAAACTTGGAAAAACACATATATATTACCTAAGCATAAAGGAGGGGCCAAAACTAGTGCATGTAATTATAGGCCTATCAATATAACACCTGTCATATCAAGGATCATGGAGAAAGTAATCAAGGACCAAATGTCAGACTACTTTCTAAAACATAAACTCATCAACCTGTCACAGCACGGATTCCTCAAGAAAAGATCTTGCGTCACTTGCCACATAGACTTTTTCAACGAAGTCACCTATAGAAGAGATAGGAGAGAGCTAGTAATTATCCTCTATTTCGATATAAGGAAAGCCTTCGACAGAGTCCCACATAGTCTGCTAGTCGGTAGGCTATGCTCACTAGGGATACGCAACCCCCTCTACAATTGGATAAAATCATTTCTCTATGACAGGAATCAGACAACTAAAGTTGGCTCAATGACCTCCAGACCTAGACCAATCAGCAGTGGTGTCATCCAGGGGAGTGTATTGGGACCCCTTCTTTTCATTATATACATAAACAGTATATGTGAATGTTTTAGTATAGGCAAGCCAATACTGTATGCAGATGACTTGAAGGTGACATATACCTGCACAAATACAGATATCGGCCCAACTATGAACTCCATACATGAAGAATTAGCAAAAATGGATAGATGGTGTGACACGTGGAGACTTGAGTTTAATGTTGAAAAGTGTGGATGGCTCTGCATAGGCTGTTCCAACCTTGAACTCAACCTAGCAATTCAGGGCCACAAAATCCCCAGACTCAAATCTGTACTAGACCTAGGACTGAAATATTCACACAATCTATCATTTTCAGAGCATATCTCGAATCAAGTGTCGAAATCACGAAGGCTTATTGGTTTCCTACTCAGGAACTTCTACAGAAACGAATCCAGAATACTACTGTACAAGGTTTGTGTGCGCCCACTCCTAGATTACTGCTCATTCATATTCAGCAGTACACGCATAGAAGACAAACTGAAAGTAGAAGGAGTACAGAGGTACTTCACGCGAAAAGTACTCGGAACCGATAACGGCACAAACTACTCTACCAGATGTGAAATCCTGGGACTAGAAACATTATGGTTAAGGCGACTGCGACTAAATCTGGTACTCTTCTATAAGCTTCTTAACCAAATAGTGTATACCCCTGCTAACTATACTCGGTTCTCAGGTAACACAGGATACAACCTTAGACACACTAAAGGTACAGTGGCTATAGAACCATGTAAAACAGCCACCAGGCAAAAGTTTTTCTTGGTTAGGTATGCCCAAATATGGAACAAACTACCTGAGAAAACGCGACTAGCAAGCACATTGGCCTCCTTTGAAAAGGCACTTAATGACACACTAAGTGAGTTTGTAATTGATACCAGTGGTAATTCCCATGTAAGAGTTTCAGAAATCATAGGCCCATTTAATGTATGAACTCAGAGACTACACCTGTTGTTTGTTTTGCCTCTATTTATAATTCCAGACAAAAAAGCAGCAGTCATGACAATAACACCCATTCAATCAAGAGTCGATCAAACTATGTCTACCTGATACAAAGGGCGAACCATAACCAACATACGAATGAAATATGAGAAAACAAGGTAGAAACTTACCGCAACACCACATGAAAAGATAAAAGTTACTTGAACATCATTTATAATCCACCAACTGGTCTCCTACCCAAAAAGAATGCGGCGATATTTTATCCAAAATGGCGAGGAAATACATAAATCCACAGCTGCTGTTGTAAACACTCAGTGGGGGTAGGAGCCAACAAAGTAATCCTTTCAAAGCATATGTATACTTCAAATGGGCACGGAGACTCTGTAGAATACGTCATAATCCAAATCACTGCCTATACAGCGCCAATAAACCTGGATATCTATGATATAACGAAAACATGCTGAAAGCTGCATCTCAGATCAAGTTGATTCATTCGATGGTAATGATCTACTCCTGCATGCCTTATTCGACATATTGAATGGAATGGTTCGCAGTTATTCTTGTAGTAGATCGAAAAGAATAAAAAATTCACCGGTTGCTGAATCAAAAGTACTTCTCTGCATGTTTAACTGTATTCTAACTGCTATGATTAATTCCAAACCTTTTATCTCATAATCAATCAAATTCCAGGAACGATCCAATTCTACCATTTAAAGACGCTGGCGAATATGCTGTAAATAAGTATTCACGATCTAAAATGAAAAGGCAACTGGTTTTCAAACAGTTCCCAACACTTTACTCAACTCACGACTACAACCCGCCATGCAGACACAAATGGCGCAAATGGAGAGTTCCGGAATCGACCTCGACACCATTTGATGCAGTAAAACAACTTAACATGACCTTATCTAGTTTTCGCCTCCACGATCAAATTTCTTTCCTGTTATAAAACTTTGATAAGACTGCTGAAAAATGGAATAAATATATCACTGATCTCAACATAATACATCAATAAACTTCAAGCCAAGGGTGTTGTTCACAACAAAGTTATGTAGGAGAATTGACTTCAAGCTTTATTTTTCCCAGATATCTGTATTACATTCATCTGATGTCTGGGTTTTCTGTTAATGCGAAGACAATATTTCTATATCTCTTTATGTGCTACACAAACAGACTTTATAGCAGACTGTTCTGACTGACTCTAATGTCAAAAAGAACAACCAAACTGTGAATTTATTACACATCAAATTACGTGCAATTTATATAACAACTTATCCATGCCTGTACAATAGGTATGTTCCTGCATAAACAGGAAGTAATATATTATTATTAAAACAATATTTATGCATGCCTATACAATTGGTGTATCCTACATAGCTAGGAAAAAATGTATTTTATTATATTATCTTTACTAAATATGCTTATGAATATTATGTGTAACTTATCGAATTGATGATGCCTGTAAACTGGCGTAAAAAATGAGAATATATATTATTATTATTATTTCACGTTTTTATCTGCTACTTCTGCGCTATCTTTAGTTTTCAAAAGACTACGCGAGGCTACATCGGGACGGCAACTTGGGCATATGTACCAGAATCCAATATCCAATATCGTTTTTACGAGCTAGTATAATCCAATTTGATTTCTTTGTGCTCGCTTCTTGACTGTAAGGTATAAGTTCCTGATCTTCGGTAAACTTCTGCGTAGCTCGTCCCGCCACTCGACTGTCGTAGCTTTGGTTGACTCCAAAGGGAGTAATGCTGGGATTAATTACATGTGGTTTGTAGTATGAGGTGTGTTAAGACTTTTACTAGTGTGAATGGAGTTGACCCTTTCTCCAGTTAGTCTTCCGGTATCGTCGACAAGAGAAACGAGATAATAACAATAATAGATATAATTAGTGAAGTTATTCAGACTTACGGAAAGAAAAAGAAATAAGAAAACGTACGTCGTATATCGGTGATAATGATAATAATAATAAGTGAAGTTAAAGTTGTCGGGAGAGTAAGACGGAGAGAATGTAAACAAGAAAAACGACGGACTTAGTTGTCTATCCCAGAATTGTGTATCGGATTTTAATAGGATAAGCCATTCGGACGCAGCCCATGTCTCGCTGCATGAATGTTCAGCCTTCGCCTAAACGTGTCCACAGACGGTGCCATGACTATATATTCCAAGTAAGGAGTTCCAAAGATGGCCAGGCAGCAGTGAAAAGAAGTGAAAACGCACCCGGGTCCTTGCCCTCTGGTAATTTATTCTTTTGTGTTTTCCACGAGGAAGCCTATACCTATTCAGTGGCAGGACACCTTTGTTTGGGTGATTCTGGTCATTTGTCTTGTATGCAGTAATGAAGTCCCCCTATCACGACGTTAGTTAAGTGTGAACAGACGTAATTTCTTCGGCCTTTCATCATATGTTTTATTCCGGAGACTAAACACTCCTTTTGCCACCCATCTTTGAACTCTTTCCAAGAGGTTGGCATCTCTTCTAAGAGGTGAAGGTGTGTTTTGTACAAACTTAGCAGCAGCCCAGGAGTGAGTGCACCTAACTATGTGTAAAGTGCATGACCGCATATGCCCTCTCTTCCTCCTCCGTGTAATTTACGTTTGTATTGACTTTTTCCGTTAGAACTAGACCTAAGTCGTGCTCCGAAGTTAGGCAGGACAAGCTTTCATTGCACAGGGTGTGATTTGCATTCTGCAGTCTACAGGTGAGTAATCTCACTACTTTGCACTTTTTCAGGTTAGAAATCTAGAGAGTAGTTCAGCTATAGCACTACATGCAGTTACACACAACCATACAATAGGATGGGATAGGATGACAGTTTTAAAATCTAATGTCACAGGGTATAGGGAGAGATTGATAACAGAAGCTTCGTTTATCGAATCAACCGCAAATACATGTAATAGGAACGATTCAACACCTGTCCCAGATATATGGAAAATTCTACTGCCCATACAACAAATAGGAGAAGACAGAGAAAACTATAAAAATCAAATCTCGAAGTCGTGTGACAAAAATTAATATGATTATGAACAACAAATTGTGTTCGAAACGTCATCCAGTTTACAATACTGTTTCACTGCGTGATACATTTAATAATCAAACTAATATGGAAAAACTATTACTTGTTACGAAAAACTCCTCTCTAAACACAAGTATGTTTGGAGGTTTTCAGCATGGTCCACCTTACAGAAAGTCAGGCTCCAAGACTCCCAAAGTCTTGCAGCCAAAGCACCTTCCCTCACAATTCCCTTTAAGTTATAAAAACAACACGAAGGTGTCTACCGGTATGACGAATAGCAGTTGGATGGGTAGACCTTTTGATGCTATGCCTTTTAACCGTCAACCTAGGCCCAACCCCTACTACCCTTATATCCAGGAACACATGGTAAATTTTCCAGGTGTTCCGAATCACTGGTACGACCCATGGCACCTAGGACCACCTCATTGCACACCAACCCCGATGTACAGACACCCAGTCCGACCTCCCTTTCATTCATAAATTCTTGCGGTGCTGACGCACAAATAGATTTAGGTTATGGTGACATTTTAAGCCAGTTTGTAGTATCCCGTGACTTATTCACGATATTGCTAATTAATGCACGCTCCTTAATCAATAAGATATCTGAACTAAGGACATTATTATTAGTCGCCAAGCCTACTGTAGCTCTGATTACTGAGTCATGGTGCTCATCCTCTGTACTTGATGTGCATATAGGTATCGATGATTACACTGTACACCGTGCAAACAGAGATTGCAAGCGTGGTGGAGGATGTCTCATATATATACATAGCTCATTTGTAGTCAGTAAGGTGGAAGATGAAACAATGAATAATGTACCTGACTCACTCTGGGTTGTCTTACATGGAGATAAGTACAAACTTCTCATAGGCTGTGTTTATCGAGCACCAAGCGCAACAAAAGAAACTGATGCGTTATTAGCTAAATCGTTTGCACACGCATCCTCGTTTAGTGCTAATTACAAAATAATTGCAGGGGACTTCAATCTTCCAGAAGTCAATTGGCTAACTAGTTCCGGCCCCCAACGCTTCGACGAATTACTTGCCACTATCGACTGTTATGGATGGCAACAACACGTCCAGACACCTACTCGTGGTGACAACATGTTGGACCTTGTTTTTTGTCATGACACAATCCCAGTATCCACTATGTTGGTAATAGATTTTCCAGTAGTGACCATAGAATGGTACTCTGCTCTCTGCCTTTCTCACCACTAAATACAGGAAACAAACAAGATTCAGGAAGCACAATATGTCGTAGTTACAAATATACAGACTGGGGATTAGTCCAAGAACTTATTCGACTCTGTCAATGGGATGACTATTTTACCACTGACTCCCTGGAGGCCTTAGTAACCCTGTTTTACAGGAATGTTACCCTTTGTCTAGATACAGTTGCTCCAAAGAAAATAGTGAAATTAAGTAGACACCGAACTGAATATATTCCAAGGGCACACCGTAATAAGTTAAGGAAGCTGAAGAAACAGTACTATTCCACTAAGGATATATCACTATTGCTCTCAATCCACGAGTCTCTTGAATCTATCAAGCGCCTACGCTCTCAAAAGGACCTCGACGAAGAGTTAACGGCACTTGAAAGTACCTCCAAAGTTTATAACTTAACGGCACTTCTTAAAAAACGAATGCAGTCGGCGAGGGAAATCCCATACTTACTTCACGACAAAGTAATCTACAATGAACCTGCCACTATCTGTGAACTTTTCAGTGATTGGTTTGCAAACTTTAGTTTAGAAACACATATGCCTGGTGAAACCGCCCCCGTTACTAGCTCTTCCCTTGAAAGCATTGTGTTCACTAATCAACTAATAGTACAAGCAATTAAAAGCCTTAAACCTTCCACTAGTACGGGACCGGATGGCCTCGCTTCGATAATTTTCAAAAACAGTGGGTGTGATATACCCCTGTTACTTCTTAAATTCTTCTCAATATCTATGGACACTGGCACTTACCCTAGTGAGTGGAAAACTAGCTTCATAATTCCACATTACAAATCTGGTGATAAGGCAAACGTCCGCAATTACAGACCCATAAATATAACCCCAGTTATCTCACGAATCATGGAGAAAGTTGTAAAAGATCAATTGTCAGACTACCTAATTAGGGAAGATCTTGTTACAAGGTCTCAACACGGATTTCTCAAAAATAGATCCTGCGTTACTTGCCACTTCGACTTTTTCAACTGCATCACTAGTAGTCGCGAAGCACGTAAGCTAGTCGTTGTTCTCTACTTCGATATATCTAGGGCATTTGACATGGTATCTCACAGTATTCTCTTTGAGAAGCTGTACTCTTGTGGAATTCGCAACCCATTACTGAACTGGTTAAAATCATTTCTAAGCAACAGGGTAC